TAGAGCATAGAAGGATATATTTTATTTTTAACTTTGAAATTATATGACGTTAATTCTGAGACAATTAAGGAGGAATGGTATACCTAATCGGGCCAAAAGTTTGTGACATTTAGGGGAATTTGTAATTTTTTTATTTAAGCTATATATAGCAGTTTTTCTTATTGAAATCATAAAAGTAGACATCAATGAATATTGAAAAGTATATATATTAAATAAGGAAAAGATAATAAATTAATGAAATTAATTTTTTTTATAAAAGCAGAAAATAATTTTTGTTACTGTCTGTACGAATTTAAAACCTAAGAAAATAAAAGTTACTGAAATTTTCTAAAAATTATTTTCGGATTTATCGAGTATTCCATTGCAAACTTTGAAAAAATGCTATTATTACGTATATATGTGTCTTATTATGCTGTAATATTAATGTTATTAATTATAAACATTGTTAAATAACAATTTGTAATGAGCGTATAATCGTGACAACGTCGCAATGCAAGTAGTTTGTTTTTTGATCGTTGGTAACAGTGTCAAGTGTTATGATTTGCATTTGTGTAGTTAAAAATAATGAAAATTTGTCATTTTTGGTACCTTTGGCGCCATCTCTTGGTTCTATGTACCACTAAACAGCTGTCACATGTGAGACTTTATATACAGTGTTGCCACGTTTTCTCTGTTTGTCTGTCATAAAATTAGTTTTCTTCCCGAAACTAATTAATTACTTTTAAACTAATTAGTGAATAAAAAAGAACCTTCGTGATTAATAAAGCTTAAATCTTGACCTTCAAGATATAATTTTTACAAAAAATTCTGAATGTTTTAAATATTAAATTTTTAATGATAAACATGCAAATACGTGCTTTCTCCATAAGAGGTAATGTTAAATTAAATAATTTTTAACTTGTAAACTATTTAGTGAAAAATTCTGAAATTTGGTGGGTAACTTTATTATATAAAAGCAAATCATTTCCCAAAATATCAAAAGATTCTGAATGTTTTGAATTTCTATAAAATTCCTCCTTAAACTTGCGTGAGAAGTAAAATTTTGGACATAGAAAATTAAAGTGATTCAATGAAAACACTGGTTCAATGAAGCCACTCTTTCCTAATTATAATTGTATAAGTTCTTTAGCATCAAAGACTTAGTTGCAAATTCATCTTTTGCAACGAATATGACGAGCTATGCATTGACAATATGAGAATGCAATGACTTACAATTTTTACAAGTTTCATTCTAATTACACAGCCACACAAAAAAAAAGAAAAGTTCTGATCTGGGGGTCTCACTATGTAGACTTTATGTTTTTTGGGTCGCTGAATCCGAATCCGAGGTCCATTTAACCCCATCAGATCAGGATTTTGACATTACCTCAAAAAACCAATATGGCGGACACATTTTTGAAAAGCTCATCGGATTCGCTTGAAATTCGTTACTCGGGGGTTTTTGGGGTCGCTGATTACGAATTTGAAGTCTGATTTCAAAAATTCAAAATGGCGGATCCAATATGGCTGACACAGACATATTGGATCCGCCATTTTGAATTTTGAAAAACCGACATCAGATTCGTAATCAGCGACCCCAAAAACCCCAGAGTAACGAATTTCAAGCTAATCCGATAAATTTTTCAAAAACGTGTCCGCCATATTGGATCCGCCATTTTGAATTTTTGAAATCAGACTTCAAATTCGTAATCAGCGACCCCAAAAACCCCCGAGTAACGAATTTCAAGCGAATCCGATGAACTTTTCAAAAATGTGTCCGCCATATTGGTTTTTTGAGGTTATGTCAAAATCCTAATCTGATGGGGTTAAATGGACCTCGGATTCAGATTCAGCGACCCAAAAAACATAAAGTCTACATAGTGAGACCTCCAGATCAGAACTTTTTTTTTTGTGTGGCTGTGTTATTGATTAATATGAAAAATTATTTCCTAATCCTTTAACCCTCTCCACTAATATCTGTCACACTTAGACCTTAATTTCGTGTTTTAAAACTGATGCGCTCCAATGTAATATGCTTATTCGCGACAATTAACTCCTGGGGACAGGTTATCGCAATGTTGACCGTCTGCAAGACTCGGTCGGTTCAAAGGTTCGCCGCGGGCAATCGAATTTGGGTAGACGTAAAAAATCTAAAACTGACTTAAATTTAGGTTAAGAAAAGATCTGAAACTGTCTCTTAGAGAGTTAGAATGGTAAAGTTCTAAAAAAAATTGTGGCTACAAGCTTTGGTACTACTTCTTCAAACACAGGCCTTGAACGGGGTGCTTGTATTATTTTGGATGACTTCCTTGATCGAAAACTCCTTCGTTTTGCATACCGCCATCACATCTGTGACATTTTACTTAAAGATGGTTTTATAAAGAAGTATGGTAAAAGCAATGCATCTGAAACTGTCATTTTCAATGTATTTGCTGACATGTGGTATAATATTGAATAAGATCAATTTAGTTACGGTATTGATCCAATTGTTGCCTCAAAAATTTCTGACGATGAATGTGCGGAAATAAAACAGTTTTGCCGAAATCAGCTGCAGAAAAGTTAAATTCGCAGTGATTATAAGGAACTTTAGAGCTTACGATCACATTTCTTAGTGAAAATGTCAGTGCATTTCAAACATGTGGTGCAACATCTCACGCAAGATTTATGTCAAAGGAATTTTTTCTATTTCGTGACCAATTTGATTTGACTGCAAGAGAACTTAATTGTGTTCGAGACATTTCAATTTTTGTAGTTAAACTTTACATCAAGGCCTAGTAAGGATACACGAATCCTATTGAATGTCCCAATCAACATTTGAATGTTTTGCATGACGGTTTTGACTTTTCCGAAATCAATAAAGTTGTCTTTCAATCGGTAATCGAGAAGTTTAAGAATCACTTGTGGTATTTGACTCCAGAAACAGTGGGACTGTTTCCAAACGTGCAACATTTGTTGACTTGCGATTTATCTGATTTCATTTCACACAAAACAAAACTTCTCTTTTCCAATTTTGAAATCCATGCTGAATTTTTCATACTGGACCCATCGTTATGGAATGATAATGAAGAAGATCAAACTGTTTTGGAATCCTTACAAAATTTATTCGTGGTTAATGCTGCAGAACGTGGCGTTAAATTCATGAAAGATTAATATACAATTACATATTAATATTAGTGTATTATATTATAGTGGCAATTTATATTGTAAAAACATTAAAAACACCACAAAATTGCAATAAAATCTCTTTTTCTACAGTAATAATAAGTTTTTGGGTACATTAATTATTTACAGATCAACTTTAGTATTTCCATATTTGTTTCTTTAGGTAAAAAGGAAACTTGTTCTGTCCGGCGCTCATTGATATCACCAGGTTAAAAAATATAACATATTCCTTTAGACGAAAATTTGTTTGGAAAATCCCCTGTTCGTTATTTTATTCGGTAACGATAAAAGAAATACAACTCGCGATAATTTTATCATTTTGTTGTTTCCTCGAAATAAGTTAGTAGCCGTGATTTATTTCACCACTGTGGTAAGAAGACCGACACTTCATAACTGCAACATTAATGTTGGAGGGTTCTTAATTGGCTCCGCCTCAAGCAAGGAAAAAGTAAACCAAGATCATATTTCCTCAGTCGGTATCAGTTTTAAATCACTTTAAAAAAGAAGTATTATATACTTAAATTGGATATTGAAATATTTTACCCGCAAAAATCACGTCACAAGAAACCAAAAATAATTTGATTTTAAAAAATAAGAAAAATTAATAAAAATATTGTTTTTCTAAAAACGAAATAATTCAATATTCAATTTCTATTTTAAAATACTCTTTAATTATTTTTGACGAGAACGCTAAGCCAAATTAAGCCTCCAGGATACTTCCAGCTCGTAATTGCTAGAGACCACTTACTCGGCTGATGAAACAATCTACTTGAATGATCGATTGAAAGTAGTTTAATTTTTTTTTAAAACAAAAAAACCAGCATTTGCTGCATTAAAATAAGTGCTATAGATCTAAAAACATGGGGAAAAATAATTGCAGGTAAAGAACTTTGTTCATTTTATAAAAGTTAGATGGTAGAAAAATACTTCAATAAAATATATCCAAATTCCTCAATTTTAATCATGATAAAACAATTTTTGTTTTTTATAAAATAAAATTTTAATATTTTTAGTTTTACGTATTTTTCACAATGATTCATTGAAAAAATTTAAGAATATATGAATGTTATTACTTATAAGTAATTAATAATATATACAACAGCATATCAAAGTTTAAACTAAAATATTTGTGTTCATCTCTGTCAAAAATGTGACCTACAGTTAAAGGCTTTATAAATGATTGAAATTATTATAGTTCTATGCTATTTCTTTTTCTTTATACGTGCATGCAAAACCTTCCTTTGGCAACCACTGACAGCAATACAAAATGGCCGATTCCCCACAGTCCGACCAACCGAGGCTCAAAACATTTTTCTTACAGCGTAGTTGTGAGTTTTTAGTTAATTTAAGTTTTAACTAATAAGATATAAATTTACTTTTAATTTCTTTTTGTATTAACATTGTATATAGACTTTAATGTTAAAGTGTTTTTATTTTTTAATAAATTTAGTCTGATGAGGTCGGTATACCTTGTCCGATAATGAGTTATATGTTCATCCCCTTTTAAATCAAAAATAAATCTTATACATAATCTGAGGAGTTTCTCAAGTTTATAATTCAATTCATCTGTCAGTTTATCGTACACAGCACAATAGTAGTTAAAGTGATGCAATAGGATTGAACAACGAAGTTGGGTTTTCAAATTGATTGAGAGAGCTTTTCTCAACTATAACTAGAATCTGAGGTTTAAGCAATTTTCTTCAGACAACTACCAATTTCTTGGTCAATATCTTTTGGCTCCTAATATTGGGCCATTATTGCACCGGTAGAAAATTTTTCACTGGATATAGCCAAACTATTAATTTTGGTATTAAATAAAAATAATAAAAATTGAAATAAAGAAATGTTAGTTTACTTACAACATCGATAAGCTGAGAGAGACGCAGGCCCATTTTAACAGTAAGACGGTCACTATTATTGCCAACAGGTCTAATCCAGCGGTTATAATTCGATAACAGGTCATCGTAGAGGCGCTTCGCGTCCTCATTAGCCACGACACTTGGAAACATTGCAACGAAACTGGAAATGGCCGTAACCACCACCAATAATTCGCCCAATCTAAATCGACATCGCCGCCAACCTTTCCCACCGCCATCCGTCCAAGCATCCTTAAACATCGTACGCCTTGTCCACCCCTGCAAAATAAAATTCCATTTTCTATTAAAAATATATCACAAATTCATTATTTTCATTAAATCCTCTGGTTAGGGGAAAACAGTATCTACTGTTTAAAAAATAGTTGTAAAGGTACCATTTCGTGTTAACTACGCATGTGCAATGGGTTTAAAAGAATGCAAAAGAAATTTTAAATTAAAGCGGGAATTTCAACCATTGAGGTAACATTTCTTTAACTAAATTTACTGAAATTATTCGCAATTCAATGCGTAATATTCACAAGCATTGTTTTATAAGTTCAACATAGAATCTCCCTCACACACTATACATGTAGGGAGGCACCACCCCCATCATTGACCCCTTTAAATTTTAATTATCAAAGAAGGTTATATTTTTTTCTTGCACCATTTTAAACACAAAAACATATAGGATGGTTAAAAATTTAAAAATTAAAAAAATTAATAATTTGACAAATTAAAAACTTTTTTTAATTCAATGGATATTTTTGGTGATCATATAGTTTTTCCAACCAAGTCTTTAAAAACATGTAGAAATAACACTTCCTAAAAAATCTTTTCTTAACACATCGTTTTCACTTCTCATTTACAATCATAACGTCTAGTAGTAATTTTAAATACATAAAACCAGCTAGTCAATTTTAGTTCCACTAACTATGGAAGTGTGGTTAAAACGCTGCTAAATATGATAGTTTTAACTACTCTTTTCTAACTTACACATATGTGGTTGTTTTTACTAATTCCATTTTTTCTCTGTACCTATAACTTAAATTTTTTTTTATCGAATTCAATAAAAATTAATATTTAAACTTCTGTTGTTAGTAGCAACATTTAAGAGCCTAAAAATGCATGTTCATTTAACGATAATACTTTTGTGTTACTACAAGAGAATGGTATTCTGTAAAATTCATGATACACATTGTTCCAACAGTTACGTTTATACTCTCTTGCGGGTCCTCGTTTTCTTCTATATATTTTGAGAAATGATTTCGTCCTTCCTCTCTTATTACTTTATCCGAAGAAAACATAGCTATGATTGTCGTAAACTCCTGTGAGACGTGTAGAGCTGAACATTGAAATAGAAAAAAGGAGAAGAAAAAGTTTTATCGCACCAGCAGTGACCTCGCCATTTTTATCGGCTCCTGCTTGATGGACTATTTTTCTGTATTAGCAAATGAAAAATGGCTGTGTGCCAAGAAGGCTCGACTTGAGCCTCGGGGTTGTCTTATCAGTGGTTGTAGCCGACTTTAGATAAAACATACTCCATGGTCATTATTAAACTCCCTCTTTTTTCTTTTTTTTTTCTTGAGAGGTACCAGATAAATACTTTCACAGTTAGAGGTAATTACTGTAAAAGGGAATTCGATTTAAAGTTCCACTTTCTTAAATATCTGCCCTTTATGGCAATTCTAAAAATAGCAAAAGTAAGCATTCGTTTTTTTATTTTTTTCTTTAGCTGTCTGTGAGAAATGAAAAATTAAATTGTTATACCGTTGATCATATAGCACAAAAAAATTGAAATTCCTCGAACGTAATTGAAAAGCTAATACAATGAAAGTTTAAATTGATTTACGAAAGGGAGAAGGAAGACAATAAAATTTTATTAATTTCGAATAACCTTGCAATTATAGGGAGCAATTTATTTATCAGCAATTCTAAATCGGGTAAAATTGAATAATATTGAAAAATATCCTTAGTTTGTAATTCAATAGATGAGAGATACGTTGTTTGATAAAGGGGAGAAAAAGTAAGCATAACAGATAGTGTTGATCGTTGATTCGGCAGAAACATATATACACTAGGGGGGCTTCGTGCGCCAACCCCCTATTTTTCATTTGGTTTTATCTTGATTTACTTACATCTTGTCTTTTTTTTGTTCATAATTTTATCATTTTTATTACATGAAGGAGAACAAATTTTAACAAACTAAGTATTTACATTTTTGCTCCTTACAATATTGTTTCAAAAAAGTAAGAAATGAGTACTTTGAAAGAAAAAACTCCCTCAGATAGGTGCGTAAATCCTTTTTAATGAAAATAGACATATTGGTAAGGGTTTTCGAAAAAATTCAAAAAATTAATTTAAAAATAATTTCCTAATTTAAATAAAAATGCAAAAGTTTGTTTAATGTGTTAAGACATATTTACACAAAGTCATGTTTCGAGTGACATATTAAATAATTAAATTAGTTTTTATTCAGAGTAGTCAGATATCGAAGAAGATTCTTCCGTGAGTAAATAGACGGCTTTTACTTGAGAGAATGAATTAGAAGACATGTTAAATGGGTTAAAGAAAAAATTTACTTCTCTTGTCGAAAATGATCCACATCGTATCACAATACTTACGATAGCTCCTGAATGCTAAAAAAGCTAAAAGCTTGATGAAACTGGAAGGTGTTTTAGTTATGCCGTCCTCCAAAGTTGGAAGATGCTTACCAGAAAAAAGAAAGAGAAAGTTCTCGAATTTTATGAAAACGATATTAACAGTAGAATAAAAAAGGAAACAGTTACTCTATATATAATGAAGGGTGAAAAGAGAAGCCGCAGACCAAAGAACTGTATACGTGCAGGTTCACAGTGTACACAGTGTTTGTGCCTGTAATATTCATCAAAATTTTAAGATGATGTTCGATGCAGCAAACATTGCAAAACTTACAAATGATCTGAACATATCATTAAAAGATTACAAAGACTGCTTTCAATTAATAATTTGTAAAAGGCCAAAAGATGAACCCTTCTTAAGAGAATGCAAGCTTTGTCCAAACCCTGAATAATTTTCTAATTATTTAATGGAATTATTCGAACAAAGAAGTATTTCAGAAATCGTTTATAGCATGTGGGAAGCTACCGATAGATGTATATTAATAAACAGTGCCTCTCTATGCCAAATTTTGTACTGGAGATCTCCAATCGTTTAGAAATATTACTGCTTCATAATTTTATTTCAAAGAACCAGTCAAAATTTCTCTTTGATCTAAAAAATAAGTTGCAGCCATACGAAGTAATAGTTCAATGTGATTTTGCAGAGAACTATGCTTACGTTGCATAAGACGCTGCGCAAGCTTTCCATTATAAAAATAACCAATATTCTGTTCAGACTGTAGTCTTCTATATCATTATAATAGAAAAGAACTTTTGCACAAAAGTTCAATCTTTCTGTCTGATAGTACAACTCATGATATTGCTGCTGTATACATGATACAAGAATTACTCATACGCAAACTTTTCAAAAATGGGTGCAACTATCCGTACTTTACTCTATAATATAGTGTTTGTGTCTGTACTATTCATCAAAATTTTAAGATGATGTATATTATGCAGAGAGAGAGATGAATGTGTCGAGTGATGCTATGTACAGAAGAGACTAAACCCATCATCTTGTTTGTTACGTGATTGCACTAGGCTGAGAAAGTGGATATAATAGAACCAATAATCAGCCACGATCATCTCATCCATCAATCTACAGTACGCAGGCATCGAATCACCCATTCTGCTAGTATCCCATTCGCTTCGACACCAGGAAACAATTACTCTGTGATGGTTAATCCCGCATCCCACAATTTCGAAGGACCTGCTAGTGCAGGTCACTTCCAGAATATTGCGCGGTGCTACCCATAGTGAAGTCGCGCGTCGAATCCAAAAAGAGGCCGACTGATTCGTCATTTTTTGGTCGAGAAAGACTCCCAAAATTATAGAGAACAGTTTAAAGAAATTCAGAGGCCATACTTAACTAAAATAAGGACAACTATAATCGTACCGAGACAGTGAATAGTTTTTATTTTGAAATATATAATTACTTAAATAAAATTTTATTCAATTGTTAAATAAAATTATTATTTTGCTTCCTTATAGAAAAAGGATTGTATTGGTAAAAATTTTCTATTTGAATTTTTGACGCATTCCTGGTGATTTTTTGAACGCGAATGGTATGTTATAACGTACTACTAGCATACCGTTTGCGTATCACGACTTTTTTCATAATTAGCAATAAAACAAATAGAAATGTATAAATAAATGAATGAATGTAATAGAGAGACGTTTAATGAAGTAATTGTCATTGTTAAATTAAGATGAAAGTTGTGATTATTATTAAAAAAGTGAAGTTATAAATAATCCAATTCGCTATTGAGTCAGTAAAAGTAACAATTTTTTTCATCAACTTTTTTAAATTTTGCCAGGAGTCAAAGTCAGGGTAAGAAATTCCGATAAAAAATAGAATTATTTTGTTGTGTTTATAACATGATATCTTGCTTCCTATTTATGTAATTCAAATAAAAGTAGTGTCATTTGATTGGAAATTTAATAAGCTTTCCAATGAAATTTAAAAAAATCATCTAGCTTTATTTTTGATACAGTTATCACTGTTTTTAAGCGGGTGTGTTTTTTAATAGCTCGAGGTGTTAGCGGTCGCACAATTTCCGCCGGTAGTGTATAATTTTTAGAAGCTTATACTTTCAAAACATTCATTTAGGGGAGATTGGAGAATTGTGGGCCACCTCATTATTTAATAATATTTGAAAGTTTGATCATTTAATTTTTTTTTTGTTCCTACAAAGAAAATTTTTCATAAACATTTCATTACTTTACCTATAAGCTGTAAACAGTAACCACCTGAAAAATTGCATTTAAATATTTATTTTGGGCGTTCATGATTTTATTGATTTTACAAGGACTTTCAAGAATTAATTAAGAAAAATATTTTTTTAATTATTGTGTGGCATTAGTACTTTGACCAATGCCACATAATTTCTTTTTTGTAACTTAAATTTTGCATTAAATTTAAATTAATAAATAATACAATTCTTTTTGTAAAATGAAGCATTTGGGGAATTGTGGGCCACAGTATGTGTTTCTTCTTTTCGGCGATTTAATTTCACAATTTTTATATCAATACACAGGTACATATTATTAAAATCACACATAGCTATATAGAAATTTAACAAAAGCAATTCTATTCTTTGCGATTCATGCGATACACCTGTTCACGTAAGATGTGACTATCAA